CAACTTTCTTTAGTTAACGGCGAAGTTTGCCGTTGGCTTGCTAGCGGTTACCGCTGGTTCGTCGTGCCGACCCACCACTCGAACTCGATATCATTTGCTCGGAACACAGAAGTATTTTAGTTGCTGCTGCTGAACTGTTTCTCACCGGTGGAGTTAGCGACAGATTATCGTGGCGTTTATTGAAGGCATGTTTTTTTGTGGCTCAGCGGAGTAGTCCAGTACGAAAAGGGCCAACGGGCAATTGGAGGCCTTCTTGGAACACATTGCACATTCTTCCCGGTGAATGTGATTAGGATCACCACGGAGAGAGAAGTTTCCCGAGACCCCCCTCTTACCTGTTACCAACACGTCCGCGACGGGAGAAAATGCCGCGAAATTGAACGTTTGGTATGTGCTAACGAAAAATTGTTTAGTCGACTGCCCCTCGTGGAAATTTTTGCACACCATATCTACTTGGGCGATCTGAATCGTATTACCTTTAGGAGGTTCCCCGTACAGGAGTTACTCAAGGTCTGGCTGAATTCTCCGGAGCTGGTTTGTCAGCTGGCCTGGCACCCGAAGAACGCGTATCGGGAAGCTCTCGGGGGAGGAAAGTAACGCCGATGCCTCGTCACGATACTCAACCCTGCTAGTAGCGTGGACGCAATTGAAGGAGGTTCCTTATGTTTATGATTCTTCGATTGTCAGCTGAACTTGGGTTTTTTGGTCTGCAACGCCAAGTTCGTAGGGAGCAACCTTCGGCGGGAGACAAGTTGAGATAAGGAGACAAGCTGAGCTAATTAAGGAGACAATTAAGCTGAGCTGAGGTATGTTTTGAAAGTCGAGAATTGGACAGTGAGAACTGAACTAAACTGAACTGATAAATTGAAACGTCCGTTGAATTTTGGATATTTTTGGATTTTTGTCCTAGATTCTTTAAAGATATTTTAAGTAAATTGATAAAGAAAAGTGAAGTCCCAAGGCTACTGTTTTGTTAGCCAATACTCCTTGTGAGTGCATTTCGAACTCCTTAAGATAGGAAGGGAGTTGTTTAGGTCATATTGGAGGAAAAGTTTGGTATTTTAATTCTCGTTTGCGATTATAAAGACATTGATTATTCTGTGATAAAGTATAATTGTTTTAAAAATGTTTGCTAACATTCAAATTCATAGAGGCTGGGCGCTTCTTGGGATTATATGTATATATTAAAGATGATTTGTTTATCAATTTGCTAAGTTAGCTGCACCGTTGATTCAGTTCAACTAATTCTCCATTTGTTAAAAAGAAAGAAAAAAAGGGAAAACTATTTAAGCTTGAGTGGATTATTCTAACGAATGATTCATTTAATTTGCTCAAAGAAGTTGATTCAGGCACCAGTTATCCAGATTATTCAAATAATTTGGTTTTTTTAGTAATTGATACAATTCCCTAAAAGGTTTAGGGCCTTGCCTATCACAAGTAGGGGAGGATGGAAGGCCTCATCATTTAACATATGCTAATAGACAATTGCAAAATACAGAAAAAAAAACAGATTTGGGTTCATGTTAATGAGAGTTAAATAAGTGTTAAAATGGACAGTAATGGATAATTTAGAGATCACTTATTTGGAGCCCCGTTTGTTATATTTACTGATAACGATTCGTTAGCTTATTTATAAAATGCTTAACTAGGAGTTAGGATGAATTCAGGGTCGAATGTTTTGGAGAGGGGGTTATCCTCTGATATGATACGATCCTGTCTCATAATGTTGGTATATAGTGGGCATGATATCTGGGTATGATATTTTGCTGAATTCTGCATTATTTCAATGTATCAAAATTTACAAAATGCTAAACTAGCGGTTAGGGTGAATTGAGGGTTGATTGTTTTGGGGAATAGTGGGAATGATATCTGGGTATGATGTTTTGCTGAATTCTGCATTATTTCAATGTATCGAAATTTATTAATGCAAATATTTTGGTGCTTTAACTTGTTATAGGTTTCTTTACACGCATTTTATATTGTAAAGATGGAAGGTGACATCATACGGAGTACGTTGTGGAGGTCTGGGATATCCAGCTCCATTAGTTGTCCTGTATGATGTTTTTCCTGATATTATTCATATATTTGCGAGGTACAAAATTATTGTTATAACAGGTGATTTAATGTTTTTTTAAAGAAGCCATCCTGTACCAAGTTGGTACTTAATAATGTTTGTTTGGTAACTGTATATAAACAAAAAGATAAAATTAAACAGTTGGAGTCTACATTTAGTAGAAATTAACTAATACATATGTGACAAAATAGATTTGTCTGAGTTTTATAATGTTAGTTAGAAGTAGATTCCATGAGATAATTATAGACCGTTGGTTGTTGCTGAGACTGGGAATGTTGAGATTATTATGATACATAATTATACAGGTTTATGAGAAAGGGTGTTAATTGTATGTATATAATAAGGCATGTTTAGTCTTGCTTCCAGTGAGATGTTTGGTTCTCATGGTGAAGATGTTGATTGCTCAGTTGAAATTTTTCTCTTTCTCATGGGGGTTTTATAAGGAAAGAATGGAATTAAGGAATATATGCATGTAAGTTGTTTGTAATGTGGTTTATTTAACAGGTTGTGTATATTTATTATTACAATTACCAGTTGACTTTGCAGGATGTCATTGTGTTGTCATTTTAGTGGTTATACCCTTCCATGTTTGGGAGCAGTTAAAATCAAGGGATGATGTTTATGCCTGGCTTTGATTTGGGGGTCTAGGGTTATCCAGCTCCAAAGAAGAGGAAGGGCATGACGTCATCCTGACATTATATTCTGTTGGTTGGTTATACATGGTGGGCAGGACATTGCATTCGTGGGTCTTTCTGGTTAATTGGTTGTAAAATAAATAAATTTAGATATTGTTGTATAATGTGATTATGCATGGGTAATGAGTGTTTGACATTACCAGGTGAATGTTAACTGTAATTTGTTAAAGTGTTGGTTAATGAAGCCCAAATATGCTGTGTTGATAGTATATTGACAAAATTATGCTTTAAAGCAACAAAATTATGTATTGCTTGGTTAAATGATTCCCAGTTGGTAATCTAATATTTTATCTTAATTTTGTACGATCTCCAGGTGCAAGATCGTTTTAGTAGGGGAGATTTGTAGTAGTACGCTCATTTGGGCTAAAGGGGGCGCTAGAGCCATATAAGAGCCGAGCTGGGTTGATTAATTGTATTCACCTAAAAGTTAAAGAACATTAATTATGTTTCCAATAGTATGCCGGGAACGGGTAAACAACCCCTGGGTTTGAATTCTTGCATTAGATTAAAGTGTTCATTTCGAAAAACACGTTGGGAATGAATTCCTGCGTCAAGATGTACAGGTGTTCATTTCCAATAACAAGTTAGACAATAGACTGTTTTGCCGGGGACGCGACATTCTCGCGAAGAGATAGACTCCTCCCATTTTTGTCGGTGACTAGATCAGATAACACTCATCTATTATGCTTGTCATTGGTTATAATTAATTAAAGGTATAACTCCTCAATTAATTGGTCGGATGACCTAAAGGGTAATTGGATATATCCCGTTTTGCAATTGGTTGGCTTCGTAAGAGCCCTCCTGGTTGGCTGGCAATATCATGTATTATTACCCGTATCAGACATCTGAGCTGGTCATTTACAAAACCGTATTGCCCTAGTTTTCACTAGCAGTGGGAACGGAGGGGTATATTCTTTGTATTTTCCTTGGTCTCCCTGCGCGTATTGACTTTGCGTGTAGAGACGAGTGAAAATATACCTTGGTATTTTCAACGGTCTCGCATTTTCATTGCGCATCTATTAATATTATGCGTACGAGAACCTGCGCACTTTGCGCGCACTCTATTGTGACGTAATAATCACACCAAATACACACTGTTTGTAGTGTATTGAAAATTTTGTCAAGCACTGGATGCACAGTGTTGGTTTGACAAAGTTTGTTCAGTTCTTGAGATTGTCATGGTGGATGTCTGTATTTGCTCTAGATGTCTGATTTGGATAACAATAAAAATATTGACTGGCTTTACTTTCGGGGGATATCAGAAATATTGACCGCGCTAAGACCATATTGCCCTCGTCTTTCGACTCGGGGCAATATGATCTGAGCTTGGTCAATATTTCTGATATACCCCTCAAGGCCAGTCAATATTATATAAATATCTAAGCCTCATCGGGTGCCGCAGTATTTAAATGCGAGGTGCGGGATTTTGAAGGGAGTTTTTAGTTCATATTATTTGAGAGTAGATATTATTTGAGAGTTTTTATTTCATTCCTTTACCATGTTCAGTAGGATGTGCTGCTAATTTCAATCAATAGGGCCGCCCAGCCTCTGAGAGAAGCAGTTTATTTACCATGTTCAAATAATAATAATACTCGTCGTTTGCAACGATTGAAGCTTCGGCTGATATATATATTTAATAAAGTGGACTTCAACTGTAATTCCGAGCTTCTTGTGTTTCATTTATGTTTGAACTTGTCATCTTCAACTCATTTACTGGCCCACCACAATATTAATGAAAAATTCTTGTCCTTTTGGCCAAAGAAGAAAGCATATATGAACTCCATGCTATTATGGCTCGAATGCCAGTGAGTCTATCCCGAAATCGAGGACGAAGCAAATGACCACCTGCCGTGAGTTACATGGATAACTCTCTTTTATTCAAAAAAATGCTTATTATAAAATCTCACTTTTTTACACTGATTTTTTTCTTCCTTCGATCCACGGGGTCCACGCCCATTATGTGGACATACATTTTTTTGTAAATAATACGTGTATTTTCAGTTCTGTGCGTGTCTAGTCTTTGATTCAGTAAACCTGCAGTCCTCCTCTTCTCTTTCTACGTTAAAACTTTTTTCTTTTTAATTATAAGATATTTCTACTATTTCAGTCAGCCCTTGTCTTATATAGATTTTTATTAAATTTCATTATAGAACTTCTAAAACTGTACTCGTCATGTTGAATAATTCGTTCTCGATCTAAAATAAAGCTGTTTCTATTCGATTCTCGGGTCCCTTGGAAAAAGACTAGCTGACTTGACGGATGAAACAGAAAGAAAGCAATTATCTGTTTGTATTAGTACGAATTACCCATGAACAATGACGACACAGAGGAGTATAGTAAACCTTTCCAATTTCTTCATCTACAATCCAAATATAAAATGCAAAGAAGGGGAGGTAAGTACAGTCAATGCCCTTATCAAGACAAATTTAGGGGTCTAAATTCGAGTGATTTGTAGAACGTACCGGTATAATGTGGTCCCATTTATTGCAAATTGTGTACGGCTTACAAAATACAAGGCCTTTAAGAACCATTAATTCAGGCGCTTGTACACAACTGTGACCACTTGGATCCGTGACTCCGGCGTGGAGATACACAACTATAACACACCAAAAATCATCTATATCTTCCACAATTGTTCAAATAATGGTCATGATTTAAGTTGTTATCTTTCTTGCCTGTTTCGTGTCAATTTTCTGATCTTTTTGGAGTAGGCCTAGGCCTAGAGGAGTCTAGAATCTATTTTTCATAAAAACAAAGACATTAGGCCTATACATTTTTACACAGGTTTCACGGCAAACAGCTGCACAATACAAGTGCATACCGACAGTAGGCCAGGTTGGCGACCAAGTTAGCGACCGTAATGATCATCATCAATTCATAATGTGAATTACTTGCATGTATTTAAATTAATGAGGATCTGAGATTACAGTCGCTAACTTCACACATGCCTGCACGTTCAATTTCTCACCCACAAATATTTACAGGGTTTTCTGTATGCATGACATGGTAAGGAATGGATCAAGCTTTCTTGGCTGAATTTGTGTTTACAAGGAGATTCAACAACAGAAATCTAAAACGTTTACCTATTCAATTATTTAATAGAATTATAGATCTAGATATCATTTCGTCTGTTTATCATTACTTTCTTTAAATGTAGACAGTACATTGGTAAATATTTTATGGGATATTATGGACATGTATGCACATGTAACTTGTGCACCTTTGCCAGAACGCAGCCTCTTCTTTAAGACAACTATAGTGTTGATGGCTTGATACCCTTGTCAGAAAAAGTTTACCCTTACCCTTGGTATTTTAATTCTGAATAAGCACAAAGTATGCTCTGCACTGATGAGAACGCTGGCTATTACATTATTATTTCATGGCAGTGGGTGACCACTAACCCTGTAAGTTGGGGCTCTGATCGGATCGGAAGATCGGAGCGACACCCTTGAACCTTTGATCGGTATCGGATCGGAAGAGCGACAAAAAAAATTGGCTGATTTTTTTTTTTTTTTTTTGGATTTTTTTTTATGACGAAAATGTTCAAGTTTGGGCTATCAAATGCTCAAAAAAAATTCATGGCTGGGATTATTTTGTCATTTGGAGTTGTTGTAGACCATGTTTGTTGATATCTAGTGCCTTTAGTCACCGGAGTGTTGGCTCAGTCAGTAGAGCGTCCGCCTCACAACCGGGAGGTCGTGGGTTCGAACCCCGGCCGCGTCATACCAAAAGACGTTAAAAGATGGGAGTTGTTGCTACCTTGTTTGGCGTTCAACAATAAGGGATAGAGCAACATCGATCTGGCGCTGCTCAGTGGCTGCCGGGCTCACGATCAATTGGGCAAAAAGAATTTCCGTTTCGGTTTAATAAAATTTGGAGTGGACTATTAGGCTATTATTATTATTATTATTATTATTATTTTCATGACTTTGAAATTAATAATATTGGTCTAAGAGCAGAGGCAAAACATGCGGGCCGCCATCTTGGATTATAATGTAGATCTAGATCTAGGTATTTTTTTTTTTGTAATGACGAAAATGTTCAAGTTTTTGGCTATCAAATGCTCAAAAAAAATTCATGGCTGGGATTATTTTGTCATTTGGAGTTGTTGTAGACCATGTTTGTTGATATTTAGTGCCTTTTCATGACTCTGAAATTAATAATATTGGTCTAAGAGCAGAGGCAAAACATGCGGGCCGCCATCTTGGATTATAATGTAGGTATGCACTATAATCCAAGATGGCAGCCCGATCAGGGGTGATCGGATCGGTATCAGCGTCCGATCCGATGATCGTTTACAGGGTTAGTGACCCCTGATATAGTATCTAGTTTAATTGTACAGCATTTTACAAAATAAATCCATAAAGTTATGAGTGGCATTCCAATTTATTACTGAGTATATTAAACATGAAACCAATTAGGATTTTAGTAAGAATTATCCATACAAGTTTTACCATTGAAAAATTCTTGACAAGTTCATCTTAAATGTCATTTATCTTCAGCTGACATTCAAAGTTAAATGTAAATGATCAACTGAATGGTAATGAAATATATTGCTAATGACCACAACTGGTCATCACTATTCACTAGTATACAAGTAATACACAGCAGTGAGGGCATTAGTAAGAATTACCCACACATGGTACCTTCGGAACAGTCTAACACGCCCGAGGCGGTAACCGAGGGCGTTTGGACTGTTTTGAAGGTACCGAGTGTGAGAAATTTAATTTTACCAATTCCCGAACAAAATGATGTGTATTATTTGTTTTATAAGATTATGTTTTATTTGTTTTATAAAATGATGTTATTTAACATAATTTTTTTACTGATGACCGGTCATTATCCAAATTACGCGTTAGGCAAAATAAATGCCTGGTCACGTGTACGCTCTCAACCAATCATTTGATTTGGATAATACCTTCTAATGCCCAGTCAATAAAAGATGTTAATGAACTGTTCACATGCATGGTTGCTGCCCAGGTGGGGTACTCGAGACATACTGTACGGGGGTGTGCTGCTCTAATGGGTCACTTTATCTCAAAAAATCCCTAAACATGGGTCCCATTTTTAACAAAAATTTCCCTAAACATTATTCCATTAGAATCTACATGTATGTGGTCACTTTGTATATAGTTTATTAACAGTCTGTGTTATTCTCTTTTATGATTTCCAGGAGCAAAAGAAGATTATGTTTTATCACCCATCTAACATTCCTGTTGATATGCAAACAAGACATATAGGACTGTGTATGGGAGTCATCATGTTTACAGAGTAAGAAAATAAATTTCATTGTAAAAATTAATTTTGTTTTACCTGGTATTGCAATTCCTTATATTTTGTGTGTGTCTAAAGTCATCATTTAATAACATGCACAGATGGTATGGAGGTGCCAGAAAAACCTATGTAAAGTGGTTGATCTGCATTGCAGAAAATGAATTGGAATAAACATTACAAAAAGTAGCCCTTGAATATCTTAACTATTTAAAGGTAACACAACCTTTGTAATTAGTTTTATTTGTATGAAAGCAGAGAATTAAGGGAAGCGGTATGGTAAAATTTGAAATAAATGACACCAATAATAAGAAATTTATGAAATTTGAAATCACTAAATCTGCCTAAATCTCAAATTTGCAGTTTGGTCATGAATTTAGACCTGTACAACTTTCCTGTTTGTACAGTACAAAAATATCTTTAATTTCTGTGTTTCTCCCGAGCAAATTCTCCCTTAGGGTACTACTCAACATATATTATGGATAGCATATTATAGGTCATCTAGTAATACTGTTGCTTAAAGCACAAGATATGCCAATATGTTTTGGTTGGCTCAAAACCCTTTATACATGTAATAAATCTCTTTTATCGTTTTATTATAGGACCTTTGATCCAGATAAACCATGCCATTCCATGCACACGCAGAAAACCAGACAACTATACCTCCATCCTGAAGAAGACTTCTGGGTTATTTTGGTCAGTATCTATGACAATTAAAGACAATAGAGTACTAGTGGTAAGGTGTAAAATACTTGTATTTAATAGTTTGACTGGATATAATGCATGTTGATATGCCATCCCTAGGTCAATGTTCAAGTTAAAACATAATACAAGTATTGACAGTGATTTCAATGGACGCATAATGGTTTCAGAATAGATACGGTATATCTGTAAACTCTTGAATTGTTCTATTGGTGGTGATGTTTTCTGATGAGGAGGGAGTGTGTTTTAGAGTTTGGAAGCAGTGTAGGGGAAATATATTTCCATGAATTAAAGGTGGGATTTATTTTGTTTTTTAAGGTAAAATTTGAATTGTGGCAATGAAGGGAAATATAATTTCACACATTCAAATCATACTAGTTGTTCCAATGGCATGTCAAACATTGATACAAATAGTTTCAGTTGATGTGATTTCTAGAAGGTTTGTTAACATTTGGCTAATCCACATTTGAATGGGGTCGGACACCCCTTTCTTGATGAGGTAAAAAGCTATACTCTGTCTTCAGACAAAGATTAGTGAATGAACCCTAAGCGAATAAAATGACTTGAACTAATAAAGGCATTGGACAACCCATCTTTGCTAGTGTTATTTAAAGTCTTTCCTTTTTATATCTCCTGCAGACAGTAACCATACCCTTCACAGAGAAGACTAAAGATGGGAAGACATACCATGAATATCATGAAGATGATGTACAAGACAGTGTCTATCTGGCAGTGCTCAAACATGCTTATCAGTTATTCAAGGTAATTGAATGTTTGTGATCTAGAGTATTATGTAGCCATGTTGTATAGTGGCAATGGCTGGTGTGAGAGATCTGTGAGTGTGGGGGACGTGATTTTGTGTTGTTTCATTTTGATCTTATTAAAAATTTTGTACATGAATGTAATTTGCTGGTATGATTGTCATCAACAAAATTTGTCATGTGTTGTTCAAAAGGAATAATTATTGAACAACTGTTGATGAAAAACTGTCCCCTAGACTGTTACCCCCTGGACAGTGAACCAAAGCCACCCCCCCCCTCCCCCGTGACAAATACCCCCTAGGACAATAACCCAAGTGTCCCTGTGTAAGTAACCGACCCCCCCCCCCCCCCCTTGCTAGTTATTGTCTGTTCACCCTTTTTTTGGCAGGTATTGTGATCAAGGTGTAGTAATGGGGGGGGGGGGGGTTATCTTCAGGAATAAGTTATCCTAGGGGGTAGATGTCCTGATTGTAGTTGTCTGGATGTAAGTGTCCTTGAGGTAATTTTTCCAGTGCAATCGTCTGCAGGGTTGTTAAACCTAATACAAAGGACAGTGTAGTTAATAAAATACAAATGTTTTGTTTTTGACAAACACATACTGGTATTGTGTATGTCTCTGTTCCAATTCCACAGGCATTAAACAGCCATCTTTGATAACTCTGCAGTTTTCTTTTAATTTTGCATTAAACATCCAATTAATCCAAAAGAGTGTGTTGTCCCTTTTCATGAATATATTGGGAAGTTCTGGAAATAAAATATTGCGAAGCGTTATGAAATACTCTTTGATGTCAAAGAAAGAATGATTTCACTTCATCTTTTGTTTTCTTCCCATCTTAGTTGTTCATGGGTACCTTCACTGATAACATGAGACTACACGGTGTAGAGGATCTCAAACAGAGACTCAATCACTTCTTCTCAAGAGTAAGTCAAGGTCAAATTCTCTTCTTTATCTCTTATCTGTGTGGGCATACAGTATATGTGTCTTTGTCTGTCTCTGTTTTATATTTTTATTAGCTGTGTCAGCTTACACCTGTACCTGCTCCCCTTTCTTTGCATTCCTCTCTCTCTCTCTCTCTCTCTCTCTCTCTCTCTCTCTCAAACCCTCATTCTCTTTCTGGCTCCTCTTTCTTTGCATTTCTCTCCTCTCTCTCTCTGTCTCCCTCTCTCTCTCTCTGTCTCACTCCCTCACTCATTCTCTTTCTTTCTTGCCCTCTCTCTATTATTTCTTCTCCTGCCCATCTGTCCCTTGCGCTGTATGTCTTTTATGTTGCCCTATCACTATTAGAAGCAGTACCAGTAGAATGCTGTCTTGAGGGGAGGACTCTATTTTGACACTAAAACACTATTTCGTAAAGCCTTTAGCCTTGCCTAACTCTGTCGGTTTCTGGCAGCTAGGACCTATGCAATGCAGTTATGAAGTCTCACTGCTCTGATACTACAACTGACAAATTCCAAAATCAGTGTAGTTTTCAATTCAAAATTTGTGAAAATTGCTAACATTTAGTTAAGTTTAGCTTATTAAAACTGAAGATGATAAAGTACTAGGACTGTATTGCTTACTTTATATTTCTTTATGCTCAGTGTTTCTGTCCTAGGATTAATACCATAATAGTTTACAGCCTTTATATTTGTAGTATATTATTTTTAATAATAATGAAATTATGTAATTTTGCAGTATCTTTTTATATTAAACCTGAGACTATCAAGCGGTGACATCCTAGAGATTCAGAATCGGATTCAGTTTCTACCTGTGTACAACAGCCTGTACATGTATATGCATCCGGTGCTTTTTATTGTACATTGAGACTGTTAGTCTGCATAATTTCATATGTGGTAATTAAACTGAATTCAATTGATTTGATTTGATCTCTCAGTATCTTTCCAACCTGAGGTTATCAACCAGCGACATTCTAGAGGTTCACAACGGAATCCAATTCCTACCGTTAGACAAGAACACCTATCTACGCATCCAGTGCTTTATCAATCTAGTCGAAGCTTCCTTCACACCCATCAAATACACAGCATTCCTCTACAATAACCAATTAGTATGGTAAGCAACATATTCAGTGTTTAGGGATTAGTTCATGTCCACATATCATCTGCAGAACCTACATGTAGGTATTGTTTCATGGAGCGGTCATAAGTACAAGTTTGCCAACATCCCTGAGTGTTTTGAAATTAACATGCGTTTCAATGGGATGTTGGCAAACTTGTATTTATGGTGGTTTGGGGCAATAAAGCATTTTCGCAATGGAATCACATTCAACGCATAAATCTCTGTTGATTGCCATGTTACAAGTTATTTAATTCCCCTGTTACGAATCATTATATCTTCATAGTCAGAATGCGAATTGCCTACATTAATTGTTGCTAGGTAGAACAAATGTTATGGCTTGTCCTATCTAACAACACGTAGAAGCGATTTTATGCCATTTTAAAACAAGATGAAATTTGACTGTTTGAAGACATACTGCCAATTTCAAGATTTGATTTGAATTATATTCATTAAAATTGCCAACAAAATACAAATTTTCATTGAGGCCTACACTGAAGACTGTTGAAGAGAGACAAGTGGTATTTACTGGCAGGTATTAATACAAATGTCTATAAGAAACATTGTTCAATGGGGATTTTAAAATGTAATATTTATAGTTCGGTGGTCTTTGTATAAAGGTGGTTTCTAATTCAGGTTATAATCTCAACATTGCACTCTAATATGTGGTATGCAATGTGAGTCCTAATTCTCATTTTTGTTGTAATCCTTAATTCGTTTTAGGAGTGGTTTAGAGCAAGATGACATGAGAGTGCTTTATAAATACCTCACAAACGGTCACTTTCCGTCCTCCTTAGATACAGAGGTGAGTTATATCAGGCATAGACTATTGTGCCCAATATATTCAGTAGTTGTCACTAAAAGTCACCTAAAGGCAATACACTAGTTTTTGATGATAAAGAGTTAAAATCAACTCAAATGTATCCCAGGACCTTGCAAAGTTAAATTTTTTCTATGCTGAATTTTCCAATTCTCAATGTTCATTACTTTACAAAATGGAATGAGCGTCCTATACAAAGTGTATAAAGTGGGTTCAAGAATGTAGGAAATCTAATTAGTCAAATGATGTAATCATGTAAACATGCATCAGTTTCTCCTACCATGCTTACTGTACAAAGAAGTCCCCATCAAAAAGCGATAACCCACAGCTAAATGCATACATGCCAACTGTTCAGATTAAAGAGGAACATTCCTCTTTTTGGAGAAGATAATTATCATTTTAATGCAGGTGTTCCTCTTCCTTTACAAATTTGTCTGTAGTATTGAATAGGAGAGTTAGGATTGTTCCTCTTTTTTTTTTAAATAGCATAATTTGTACAGATTTCTGATTTTCAAATGTTGGCATGTATGTAAATGTGATGAAGAGATACACGTTGGTATTAAAGATATACTTGGTTTAGTCACAATGATCTGGATAATGAACTCGACAAATCTCATTCAATATCTGGTTGTGACTTAACCTGCAAACAGTGCATATTCACTAATGCACTTGCAAACATTTGCATACTAATTTTTACATTATTTTTTTTCTCTTAAAATTCCGACAGCTGAAGGAAACTCCAAAGTCATCCTCTGCTAATCACTATGGAAAGTAAGCATGCTTCACATTGAATCATTAAGAACCAGTCCCACCTCAATCATAATCATAATCATAATCTGTATCCATGTATCACACACCTATAACGATGACAATAAAAATGGTCCCATCTGAAGATTTTGCTTACTTAAAAATAATTGGTGTTTGGACACTGCTGTTGTGGCTTCTTCTGAACTGATGTTACATGTAAAGCTAAATTATTCATAGCCTTACCAAGTTTTGCATTTTTTTTAAATATGTAAACAATTTATTTGTCCCAATTTATTTTTGTTGAGAATGTGACGTAGTAAAGCTTACATCTAAAAAGTATTCAACAAAGGCCCTAATGCAATCAGTCCACATTTCATTCTTGAGTTACAAAAAAATAAAAAATAAACTTTAAATTTGGTAGGGGTATGAATAATTTAGTTGTTACATCAAAGGAGTGACATTTTTGGCTCACAGATATTATCATTGAGATCTGTCCCAATAAAATTGTTTTGGAGCCATCTCACTGAGAATATAAATCCATCAAATACCTGTAGGTTCATTTAAGGTGGGACCTATAACAACAATTTACAATTGGCTATATTTGTATTCAAATTTAATGCACAAATATTTGTTACATATTATTTCATTCACCTGTTACAAATAAATATATTTAATAGTCAGAATGCAAATTGCATACATACGTATTGTTAGGTGATACAAGCCATAATGTTTGTCCTACCTAGCAACAATGTATGTAAGCAATTTGCATTGTGACTATTGAAATATATTTATTTGTAACAGGTGAATGAAATAATTTGTAACAAATATTTGTGCATCAATTTGATTACATTACGAAAATGGTCCACCCGGTGTTCATGTTCCATGTAAACAGCAGATGAGGGATTTGGGAATGATTTATCATCATCATAGTTGAAGTGGAATGGCCCTTATGTCAATATTTGAATGTGATGATATTATTGGAACCAGGTATATATGGTCCATGACCTTCTGTTTTTAGACCAACTGCAAGGTACCCAAACTATTTAGATCTTTGTAATAATGATTGTTATAGTAAGTCATCATCTTCTGCAACCATTTTGGTACATCTGAAATTTGATTATGTTATAAATTTGCAAATGCTTATACCATTTTGAATAGGATTACAGGTATAAGACAAGCAGAGCAAAATATACATATATCTCTGTTTATACTTTCATGACACTTAGTCTAAAAATTGATCCTACACAATTTATTGCTTTTATAGCATTTGTAGAAAATATCACTCTATACACCTTGGTTTGTCTTTAAGCAATGATAACATCGTATCATGCGATATTTAAATGTATTTCCATGTACATACAAGCATAGAAAAAGTGTAGAATATAATGTGCTGTTTGTTTGCTTACGCCAGGTTTGTAATGGGTCCTCAGAATCTATCAGATCCAACGTCATCAGAGAGCAAGGTTCCTAAACTTCACATTACAAAAGATGACCATATAGAAGAGCTATTCCTTATTGTATATAGGGTAGGTACACCCCCCCCCCTCTCTCTCTCTCTCTCTCTCTCTCTCATGTTCATTCTTCATAGCTTTCAGTGACACTTGATACACTGCAAACAGTATCTCAAGACTAGTATATTGCATACAGTACATGTATGTCGAAAACAAATTGATTATCATAATGTATCAGTAGTAATATCCTTCCGGCATATAAAGATTTTTCTGATCTTGCTGAAGAATTTTCTCTTTATGCTGTCAGTGAAAATTAATGAATAAATGTATATATATATATATGTACATATGAATATGCATAAATACAGCTTAATTACACAACTTTATATTACAATATTATGTATAGTTATTACTTTGTCATCACCAGAACGGAATGTATCCCATGTTTTGTATCCTATTTCTGTTCCATGTAAACTAGATGTGCCTGAGCCTTTTCTTTTCACATGTGAGCGAAACACATATGAATGTTGAGCGTACATTGGACAGATAAATACATTGAATTGAATATGCTTTGTTTGATTTCTTTGTTCTCAGGCAATGAGTGCTACAATATGTCTGATGGTTGAAGGTGAGTACACCAACTGATGCTGTCAAACTTGAGCCTTCATGACATAAAACTTTCACATAATATTAACTCCCTCCTAGCTTTTGTTGACTAATGGAACAACACTCCACTGCCACAGTTGACTTTTGTCATACATACCGAGTATCTGGACAAAATTATTACAATTCTAACAATGTGCCAGTCTCAGGAATCAATCCATATCAAATAGAGAATTAAACATTTAGTGTTGTTTTAATCTTTTTAGGAAAGGAGTTTTTCTAAGGGCTTAATTGAATTTTTTTTTTAAATTCAAATTGGCAGGAAATATTCTTTTTCTCATTTATTGCTACAGTTTTGTAATAAACTAATGTCTCTGAAAAACAAATACATGGGGAGGAACTTAGTTGAAAGTTGAGAAAATGGGCAGTTTTTATCAACAAAATGATTTTGGACCTCTCAACATGTTGCCAATTTAACAGTTTTAATGCTTATTTTCCTCTTTGAAATTCCTAGCATCAAATGCGATACATGCATGCAACAAAAAAGGGTGAAGTCTATGCAGAAAAGTGAAATTTATGTTAACTTGATGGCACCATGAAAGTTAAGTATGAATATTTTGCTTTGTATTTACTGATTAATTCTTGTAGGTTCACAGCTTCCCAGTCATGAATGGTATCAGAATGTAGATAGCTTTCTAGGACCTCAACTCAGCAGTCTAGCATCGGATGTAGGAGAACAGTATGCAAATAGGAGAACAAGGTAATAGTTGTTATGGTGATAGTTTCCACAAGGATGACGATGAAGATGATGATTATGATGATGGTGATGAAGATGGAGATAGTGATAATGATTGCAGTGATGATGACAATGATGATGATGTTGACGTTGATGATGATGATAATTGATGATGATGATGATAATGGTAATTAAGCTGCTTATTATTTTACTTGCTATTAATACATTCCTTATTCTTAGTTATGTTAATGTAAATTACATTCTACTTTTAAAGATGAAGTTGAGTTCTGGTCATGCGATTGCTTTGTGAAAGAAACGGTGTGGAACCGACCAGAAAAGGTTGATCATCTAGCATATAAGAATTTGTGTGTATTGCAAGGTTCTGGAATCATCAAAATGATAAGAAATTTGGCCAAATCTTGGTAAAGTTACAAACACTTGCACAGAAAGATGTATATGGGACTACACGTACACGTGGCGTAAAAAGCCGGCCCCCGATTTTTATGATGTTACATGCATATTTAGAATATGAAGGCATTTGAAGAGCCATGCTTTTCAGGGAACATGTCTTAACTGATGTTCTTCCACACTTGCATAATAAGAATGAGTAATGCTCACAAATTATTTTTCACCTCTTCCCAGAACTCAACCTTCTCTTTAAGTGGAAATGTATTAATTCTCTTGAATGTTGAAATGAAGAAATTTGATTCGAAAAAGGAAGATAATGGTGACTTTTGCGATGTTTTTATATTACATAATTTATAATGAACCATATTTAAGGGTCTTTTCCCCATTCATCTCAAAGAAACCCTTTTTGTTTAATGCTTTCAGTTCCTCAGGTCAAGAGTTCAAATTCGTCTATTTCAATCAGATGAACCTAGCTCAGAAGACGACCGTCCATGATCGCAAGACGCTGGCATCCAACATCAACCCAGAGACTCTAAGGCTAATAGCAGACATCAATGCAGACTTTGAAAAGTAGGTTTAAACTTCTTCCTTATCCTCTCTCTCTTTCTCTCTCTTTCTCTCTTCCTCCTTTCTTACTCTCTCTCTCCCTCTCTCTCTCTCTCTCTCTCTCTCTCTCTCTGACTCTCTAAATACCATCTCTTTCTCTCTATATCCCTTCCCTCCCTTTATCTCTCTCTCTCTCTCTCCCTCTCTCTCTCCCTCTCTCTCTCTCTCTCTAAAGACCACATTCCTTGTTTCTTGATCACATTATTGATTGTAAATTCTAGTTGGCTGTGACAACAGAACCTAATTCATGCTGACCAAGCATGAGAAGGAATTACTTCTTGTTTTTTTGTAGGGTCGTCAGCTATTTGGAACATAGTTCTCAGAAAATTTGCTTACGTACATCATAATAATAAGAAAGGGTTTTTCCCAAATTGGAATGACCTTGTCAACATTGACACAATATGTGAAGTGAACTATGGAATATTGCTCACCACCATCCAATGTCATACATGGACATTGTACTGTACCATAATACATCCTGGTTAAAACAGTCTGAAATGAGAATATTGTTCTAAATTTCAGCATTGAGGATGTGTGAAGTGAACTATGAAGTATTATTATTTACCCACCACTGCCAAATATATCACACATGGACATTGTACTCTCACATATTACATCCTGGTTAGGAGAGTATGAAATCACAAATTCTTCCAAACTTCAAATGTACCAATATCATAAATTGAACTCATACATTCTCTGTTTGGAACCTGAAGGGTGTAAACTTTGAGTTAATATATATATATGAGATAACGCCCTTTTAGCTTCAAAGAGACAACGTTACATCCTGGTCAAAGATATTGTCAACATGAGAGCTGGATTTTTGGGAAACAACAAAATGTTGAAATGTGCTATTATTATAGGGTAACAAGAGATGAAAAATTGCACCTTTTTTGTCAAAATCTGTGTTTACTAAACCATAATGTAAATTATTCTTTAACTTCATCTTGATTTGGAAACTTGAGATGTAATTGGTCATTATAAGCTGATCTTGGTTTTTGGAAACTATTTTTATTCTGTTTCTATAGTACATTAAATATGGCTTGATTACTCTTCCATTCATCAAATTTGATGTGATGACCTGTGACCTATAGCCTTTAAACCAGATCTTGCAAGCAAAATGCTGAAAAGAAAATTCATAACAATTGTGAAGTTAGAATCCTTCTTACCATGTATTCCATTAACTTCCAAATACATGTGATGTTGGAAGCTAGATGTTCATGCAACAGTCATCAACTGCCATGATAATATTTTGACCTTAGACCTTTTGACCTGAGGTCATGATGCAGGCAATATGTATATACTGTATAGATGGAATTGCAAATGATATTGAGTCAGTACCCTTCTCAATATCTCCAATAAGGGACCAAACATTTGTAATAAATATCCATTTGTATCAAATAAGATATAATATGATATTATTTAAACTGATATTTGACCCTAGGTCAGATGATGCAGGTGAGACACTAATGAGGACAATGTCAGACTGTTGGGTTGTGGGTAAGAAGTCAGACCAGAGGGAGTTCTATGTAGTCATCAACCAGAAGAATTCTAACCTTATAGAAATCAATGGTAAGTAAATCTTTTGATGAGCAAAATTCACTAAAATTAATAGACCATTACATCTTAGGGGAAGAGTGTGTTTCCACAGGCTGATTTCATGCAAATGTATTACATGTACGTTATATGGATTAATGATTGTAGAGATTCAAATGATAGGAGGAAATAAGGATATTGACTTTACTTTTTGTCTGTGCATATATATACTCTATTCATTTACAAAATGATAATTATGGTATACTAAACTGCTTTCATTAGAACTTATGGACAGACATCAAGATTGTTTGGGCAAATCTGTTGAGGAATTTTCATTTCAGTTTTCTTTGTGCTAACAGGGCTCTGTTTTACAGTTCTATATTAAATGGATTTTTTTTTTAAAGCCAATTGTATGCACATAAGTTCAGTAGCTTAAAATCATTACATACACTGTGCACTGACAGGTTCCTGTTGACATTATGAATTCACCGAGGTGACAAGCATAGCACTGTCATTGAAGTCAGTGAAGATCCATAATTCACTGGTGCATCAAAATCAGTGCATGGTTTATTTGATTTATATCCCTCATCATAAAATGAAAAACTAAAACTGTAATCTATAAACTATAAAGAAGTGCATGTGCAAATAAATATCAGCTCACACTTTATTTTAACTTATTATGGATAACAGGCTGCATGACACAGGACTAAATGAATATTTTAACATAATTTTTAACGTTTAAATAATATTTGAACGTTCTTGTATAGCTCATAACACATAGGAAATGATGCACTGGTTTCATAGTTGTGAAATTTTACAAAGTGCTAAATAAGTACATTGAGTGATTTCAAGTTGGGTGTTAGTGTTAGTGTTTAGACCAGTCAAGAGCTCTTAAATCAAGCTAAAAATTTGCTGATGTAATTAAGAGCCTGATACCGATATCAATATCGATACCTTAACACTAACACCAAACTGGAAATCAACATTTGCTTATTCCCTAGGGGCTAGTGTTAGTGAATAGGACATTTGTACATAAAATATTAACACCAGCCACAAAGTATTCAGCAGACGACAATTTTGCATTTTTGCAAAATCGATAACACTAGTTACCCGAAGCTGACGATATTCAGAGGTCAAAGCCTTTACATCAGCTGATTTCCATTTCGGTGTTTAGAGCTGGTGTTAGTGTTTATTAAACACTAACACCAGCCCTAAACACCCAACTTGAAATCACTCAATATATGTTTTCACATGTTGATACGCCCTAATCATTTGGTCTTGTTTTGTTTTGCTCTACATTACAGAGGAGGTGAAGAGGTTATGCAGTAGTCATTTCTCAAATATCTTCTTCTTGGACTGAAGATTTCTAGACGACCGTATAAACAAGACAATTAGCTGGAGCTCTATAGGCATGTGTGCAATCACATTTTAAGCCACAGTCAACCTCAGCAATTTTGTTTTAAATGTATGAATGAATACCGATTGGGGAAATAGAAAAAAAGGGAGTTTCATGCAACAAGTGTTTAGAAGGATCCTCACTAATCTCTGTGTTTTAAGACATAGTGCATATTGTGCCCTATCAGTTTACTGCAGCATTATGTGAACAAGACTTTATACGATCATGGTAAGTTGGTTACTGCAAAACATTGACTGTATTTATTATCTACCAACTATGAAAGAATCATACGGAATGATGTACGAAAGGGCAAAGGATGATGATCTATACTGTAGCAGCAAGCTTTATTTTGTTGTGTTGCGCATGGTATACCCCACTTGTTTCCATCATTGAAATGAGGAAGTGCAACTATAAAGATCGTAAAGATCAAAGATCATGCGGAGGTGTTGTGGTCTAGTGGATAAGTCGCCTGACTGCAGATTTCAAGGTACGGGGTTTCGAGTCCCGCCGCGGCACTAATGTCCTATGGAAAGACATTCATCCACATTGGCTACTCTCCACCCAGGTGTTAAATGGGTACCCGGTAGGATGCGAAAGTTAATGAGGTTAGATGAGCAAGTGTGCGCTTGTAAAAATGATGTCTAGCTGGAATGCTCCCCAGGAAGTGGAGAATGTGCATACACTGTGTGCGGGTAAGCCTGAGTCCGAAGACCGGGGCAATAACATGTAAAGCGCACTGATACATTTTTATTGGAAGAGAGTATACAACTTGTAAACGAGCAATTTTCTCTGCAAAAGAAACTTTCACGCATTGCAAAACTGGTTGCAAAATTTGAATGTTTGATTCATGTGAAAGTTACAGTATGATACAAGTTATGTGAGAAATTGCTATGGTGACTGTGGTCTGTTGATATGCTGTGTGGTTAATCATTCAAACTAAGATGATTTAAGGTTTGGGGTTGAAGGTCAGGCAGGATTTTGATTGAAAGTGATATATATTGCCAATAAAAACAAAGCCTCAGCCATCTTACAATAAGAAAAATATACTAAAATAGACCTTGTATTGCACCTAAATATATTTCCTACAAAAGAAGCTGATAAAACCCCTTTTCGCAAATAAATTTTTCAATTTTTTTTTCTCCTTCAGATAAATTTTTCTCAAAACTTGAATTCTGTCACGCTAAATAGCGACACCTTAAAGTTTGGAACAACGATCCACTAATAACAATAGAGGTGTAATGTGGGACAAGAACGATGGTTATTTGAAGTTTTAAACTACAAGCTTGCCATAGTTTTAATGTTTGACTAAACTTTAAAATTTACATAAACCAAAATATGTCTGCACGTAAATGAAGCCTATAGAGTTTTATGTGATATGCAAAACAAGTTGTATGAGTTGGGCTCATTACAATACAAGCTCCAGCAACAATTGGTCCTTACTCAATATCCTACTCTTACCAGATTTTTTATTTCAACTCTAGACCAAGCACTATTCCTAACCCTAACCCTTAAATTAACCTAAAACCAAACTGCAACACTTTATTGCAGCCCAGAGAAGTTGTTACTGGAACATACTGACTCCATAAATGCATTGCAAATGACAGGGCCCATTTCACTGATTGCCATTTTGTGTTCACGCATCGTGCAAAATAGAGGGTTAATGAGCTCACCATCAAATAATTTGATTTTGGAAGAATTTGATTTCTGTCAAAGGAATTGGAGATGAAAAGAAATGATGTAAGATCATGGATACTAAAAGAAAGTCAAATACCTTAATAATGTACAGTGCTGTGAAATAGAATTATGCTGGAGTTAAGGGTCATTCATGTATGGTTCAGACGTTTTTTTAATTTAAAAAAAAAATATTTTTATTTTTATGTGTAAATGAATGGTAAGTGTGGATGGAGAAAAGTCACTGTGTACAACAAAGGTTCTACATAATACTCACTTATCTGTGTGTTGTAAGATAGAGAAAAGTTAAAGTTCACTTCACCTATTTTGCCTTGCCAGCATATATGAACAAGACTTTATGTTCTCTTGTAATACATGTAGGTGTAAGAAAACATAATCAAATCTAAATATTTCTATTGTTGAGGACCAAATTTGGTTTTACCATTCTCCCAATTTGCACAATTTCATTTTGGAGAGCAAAATATGCATATTGTTGATCATCATTGCAGAACGATTTCATTAAAGCATAGAGCTAGTAAATGCACCTACTACTCAGATTAGGCTACGGTACACCAAAATGTCATTCAAATGTGTCAAATTGCACTTTCTTAGTCAGTGATATCACCAATTATATTCCACATACTAAGAATCTTGCTCTACGACCGGTCAAAAGTAAATCGCGTGATGAAAGATAGTTCACCCATCATTGCCATCATTATGCTTGGCTTCGAAGTCCAGATGCATCTTAACATGCCACCCCACTACACTAAGCCCTAGCTCTAACCAGATGGTTCTCTCTCAAATGACTATTTTCCTAATGTAATCAAATTCAAAGCAAAAATCTTTGTTAAGTGCCATGTTACAAATAATTGTATTTCAATAGTCACAATGCAGATTGCATACACTAATTATTGCTAGTTAGGACGTACATTATGGCTTGTCCTACCTAACAACACAGAATATATGCAATTTGCATTCTGACTATTGAAATACAAACGGGTGAATGAAATAATTTGAAATGGAGGCACTTAAAGGTAATGGCTCGAATTCACAAAGGAGGTTTGTCGACAAACCTAGGTTAATGTGCATCATATGACGCGTTTTTACAAACTGGTTTGTAAAAACGTGTCAAAATGCATCATATGACGCACATAAACCTAGGTTTGTTGACAAACTTCCTTTGTGAATTTGGGCCACTATCTGTATGTCCAATTTGCAGGCCATTCGAAAGACAATACTAATTTAGAACTTCTCTCAAATCGAAAGGGCTGGGAAAATAACAACCATTAGTTGTCGAATCAACTTCAGTGATTGCAATCACCTAAGTAATAGTCTGATTTTCACGCCCTTTTACCCAACGATTGTTCGTTTTGTGCTGCACAAAAATTCAATCAGATTAATTTTGGCCATTACAAGTAATGAGTTATTGATGTAGACAAATGCTCATATACCTGTTGCAGCTCATTTTATGTATATATGTTATTACCAAAGAAAAAAAGATGTCGGTCAGTCACTTAATAGTGTCTGACATTGAAGGCTAGAAGGTATATAAACAGGTTTCCTTGCATAATTTGAATACTCTGACACTGCTAATGTTTGAATTTCACAGATAGGACAAATTCATAATTCCTGCAAAGTTCTACAGAATTTGATGCTGGCTGCAAAGGGACAAAGTATCTTTAACAAAGATTTCCGCATTCAATTTGATTTGGGGGGGGGGGATTTTTTTTATTTTTTAGGTCAATTTTTTAAAATAATTTCAACTCCTTTTGTTTCATCTTCAAATCAAATTTGTTGTTATTGTGAATTTAGTTTTAATTCATTTTATAAAAATGAATGTTCTAAATGTCTATGCTGTCTGGCCAATACTCATTTAGACCTTATGTTTATGTATATATAGAATAATGTCTATTATTATATATAGAAATATTGAATTATGTTTGTTTTACAAGATAATAATATGAAAAAGATAATTATTTTGTGTTTCTGTATTTCTTTTTGTTGTTATGTGTGTGTGTGTGCATATTAGTGTTGTTAAAGCTGTGAAATATAATATCCTTTTTTTTCTTTTTTCCTAAATTTTAATATTTTTCTTAAATTGATATTTGCTATTATTCATCATAAAGCCAATTTTTGTTATACTCTTAATTTTCTTCTTTTTTTTTTGCTCCAACTATCATTTTAATTTGTATTTCATGCTATTTGGGGAGGGTGGGGGTATTTCATTGCCGGCTCTGAATAAAATTGTTCTCTCTCTCACACTCTCTCTCTCTCTCTCTCTCTCTCTCTATCTTTCTCTCTCCTCTCTTTCTTAACCTTTATTTTGTCTGCAGTAACCTGTCTACATGTTACTTAAAGCTAATCCATATTAGAGGATGAAAAGGGTCCGTGTTCTTCTATTGAGAGGAAAAAATGGGAATGGAAATACATGAATTCCCCCCCCCCCCCCCCCCCCCCCCCCTCCCTTCAACAGAGAAAATATGGGAGAAGGAAATAAACTCCTGCAATTATATTCTGGAAAAGAATAAAATCATGTAGGAAAAAACTTAACTCCCTTCCCCTTTCTAAACAAGTTTTGCCATTGCACACAGTACCTTATTTATACTTTTCCTCATTTTAAGTGTGACATTATAATATTATTACCTTATGTCAAACTAAATCCAATCCAATCCCGGCCAGAGCTGAATTGCAACAAAAGCCAGAAATATCATTGCACTTACCTGTCACATAAAAGAGGTACAAGTCATAACATGTATGAAGACAAATTCAGCTACTAAAAGTCCGCAAATCTTGGAATGGTTCACGGAAGTTTCCAAAGAAAAAAGCAGTCGGAATTGATTGCGGTCCAAAACATGATGCAATACAAAATCAACTAGACATGGGTTTGTTGTGGTAAGAGGCTTTCAATGCGCACCCATGTCAACCATTGTGACGTCAAAATTGTTAACTTTCAACCAATCGCAGCGCACAGTGTAGTGCTATGAGTGCGCATCCATACTTTCCATTGTGACGTCACCAAGAAACTTGATTTGTCTATGGATGGCAGTTTGAATTTCGAAGTTTATTACAATTCAAGGACCCGCATGTATGGGAGTATAATACAAAACGCAACAGAGTAACACCCCCTCTCTTTCTTATCCCTCTCTTTCTCTCTCTTCTCTCCCTCTCTCTATTTCTCTCTCTCTCTCTCTCTCTCTCTCTCCCATCCCTCTCTTTCTTATCCTTCATTTTGTCTGCAGTAAACCTGTCAACATGTACATGTAATTTAACGCCAATCCACAATAGGGGATGGTAAGGGGCCGCAGTTCTTCTATCGAGGGGAAAATGGGAAAGGAAATACAAGAACCCCCCCCCCCCCCCTCTCCATTCGACAGAGAAAATCTGGGAGGAGAAAAGAAATTCCTGCAATCATATTCTGGAAAAGAATAAAATCATGTCGGAAAAGACCCCCTTCCCGTTTCTAAAAAATCCAGGTTTGCCATTGCACACAGTAACTCATTTATTTTTCCTCTGTTTGAGTGTGACATTAGTATTACCTAACCACACAAAAAACACTGTCAATGCAACGTTACAGCTTAAAAAATTAAACTCTGAATCAGAATGACAGATCAAAACTCCCATGGTGACTTGATAATTAACTAAACCCAGTACGGTACCAGAACTGAATTGATAGAAAAGCCAGGAATATCATTGCACTTACGTGTCAAATAAAAGAGGTAGAAGTCACTACATCGTACATGTATTCAGAATGGTTCACGGAAGTTTCCAAAGAAAATGCAGTTGGATTTGATTGCGTTCCAAAACATGATGAAATACAAAATCAACTACAAGTAGATTGGTCATGGGCTTGTTGTGGTAAGAGGCGTTCAATGCGCATCCATGACTGTTAACCATTGTGACGTCAAAATTGTTAACTTTCAACCAATCGCAGCGCACAGTGCAGTGCTATGGGTGCGCATTCATACTATCCATTGTGACGTCACCAAGAAACTTTGATTTGTCTATGGATGGCAGTTTGAAGTTCTTTATTACAATTCACCGACCTGCTTGGATTGGGAGTATAATATAAAACACTACAAATGTAAATTTATAAACACATGAAGAGATAAATAAAAAACAGTATCTCAAAATAAAACAAATAATGTAAAATGTAAACGTAAAATAATAAATGCAAAGAGTAACAGTAATCTGTATATCTAAAAGGAAAAGGGACGTTATTTTCCACAAAACTTCGAAAGATTTGGCACCGGATTTGACAGTGTCCTATTTTACAGGAATTAAACAAGTCATTGAATTTAGATGTTTTAATTCCAATATTACCTAATAGGAATTCTGAGGGATAATACAATGACTGTATATAAAAAAAAAAAA